GATGATCTGACATTTAATGTGAAGCTTCTGAAGTGATGAATGGGTTTTGGGAAGTTCTGAAGATGTGGTTAGATGAAAGTAGCAAAAATATCTTTAAAACTAGACACAAAAGGTAAGTTATAAATTGTTGTTTCTTACATAATAATGAGACAAAAGTTGAATGTTCAAGTTCTTCACTTTAATATAAAAGTCCCTTTATTTTTTCTACATGATTACCTAAAAGTGAATTAATAAAGTTAAAAGATGAGTATGGTGTTGGGAAAATTGGACAGATACATGCAAAAAAATGAAACTAGACCACCAACTTACACCATACACAAAAATAAACTCAAAATGGATAAAGGACTTAAATGTATGACAGGAAACCATAAAAATACTAGAAGAATCCAAAGGCAACAAAATCTCAGAGATATGCCAAAGCAATTTCTTCACCGATACAGCTCCTAGGGCTGCCAGCCTGGTCGCCCACAACTGCCCTCCCCTGCAGGCCTGGTCGCCCCTAACTGCCCTCCCCCGCCGGGCATCTTGTGCCCACATGGGAGCTGCCTTTGTGCAAGGGCGTGGTGGTCAATTTGCATATTGCCTCTTTATTATATAGGCTATGAAGTTCTTGGCAAACTAAGGTGATGTGTAACCAAACACATACATTTTTATCATAGATAAGAACTTATTTACTCACCAGCATCATTATTATCTTTGCAAATATATTTTGTAGCAATTGAGCCCTTTTCTCCTTCCCCATCAAAAAACAGATTTTAGGTTATAATTTTAAAACAACAAAACACCAGTCAACCTTAAATAAAACTTAAGTAAACCTGAAATTTTTTAAAAGTCAATTGTCTATGTTTCCAATGGTGCTATGATAAGCAACAGATTCTGTTATAAAAGACTAATAAGAGACTTACAGCTATATCAAATATCTCCTATAAAATATACCTTAGAATTAGTCATAGATTTTTTTTAATAACCTAACCTGTAACAGACAGTATTTCTAAATGACAACTTTCCAAGACTGTTTATAAGACATCACCATAATAAATTCATAAATCTCTAGTAAATGAAATTCAGGCAATAAAAAATTGATATTTGTGCTGCTCTACTGGAAAAAATATATGAGAAACTTTACCCTAATTTCTTTTTTTAAAATATATTTTATTGATTTTTTACAGAGAGGAAGGGAGAGAGATAGAGAGTTAGAAACATCGATGAGAGAGAAACATCGATTAGCTGCCTCCTGCACATCTCCTACTGGGGATGTGCCTGCAACCCAGGTGCATGCCCTTGACCGAAATCAAACCTGGGACCTTTCGGTCCGCAGGCCGACGCTCTATCCACTGAGCCAAACCGGTTTCGGCACCCTAATTTCTTTAGAATATTTTATTTTGGTCATGTGCCATTTTCCAGTTAGTTAGTAAATTATTCTTATATATACAAAGCACAAACAAACAAACATCACGAAGCCAGAGTTCCAAGTAATGAGAGAGCCAGATGACTGGAGTGTGCCTGCCAAGGAATAAGCCAATACTCACCTGTAGGGGGAGTAGAAGAAACAACAGGGGGAGTTGGAGAAGCGAAGCCATCAGCAAGGGCCTGGGCACCCCCAGAAGCTGCGTCTGGGGCAGTGGAGGAAGGGACAGTAGCAGGAACAATAGGGACAGGGGCAGATGCGGAAGTAGCAGGAAGGGGAGGAGTACCAGCAGAGCCAGCAGGGGCTGAGGGGAAAGAGGAGTAAGAGGCAGCATTAATGAGGCAATCCCATTAGGCAGGACGAGTAAGGCATAAGAGGACTTAAAGTTAGATATTCAGTGCTCAACACTAACCAAAGAATAGAAGAGGGCGTTAAAAAGCAAAATGAATAAAACGTAAGTTAAAGGATTATTAGATGTGCAGCAAATAATACAAGACACAATTAAATGAATTCTTTAATTCATTAAGAAACAAACATTCCTTTTTACCTGACAGCCACTATTCTGTAAGAAAAATGTTCCCTTCATATTGTAATCTTTAGCATAATATTCTGTAAGTGATATACAACACTAAATACTAAGAAACAACAGCATCCCAGATCGAATTACCCAAATCAGAAAACAAACATATGTTCCAGACATAAATATCTTATCAGGTAAAAAAAACATTCAGAAAAACACAAATCTCTCTTTTCCATGGTTTTTTAAAAGGTAGTATCTATTTGTTATTAAGATAAGTAAGTTAAATTAGTAAATTAATTATGTGATAGTCTATCCCTATGTCTTTTGTGTCACGCTTTTAAAACTGAATTTTAACTTTGGTGTCCTCAGATTAAATAAGCACATTTTTCTGTTTCAGAGAAAAGAGGGTAGCATTTCAGAAACTATTCAATTCCAACACTCCACTAAATTTAACTGTCAAAATTACTGTGATATTTGTCCAACCCTTTGTTATAAATATGATTTCTCACACTGAGTCTCCTGTGTCCTAAGGCATGCACTGCCATCACACAGCTGGAATGGAACATACAACACACCAAGGTGGGGCCTGAAACCTCTAAGCACCCACAGAGCTTGCAGCACCGAAGACGTAAAACCAAAGTACAGAGAAGTGTGTGAGCATCAACTGGCAAATTACTTGGTTAAAAATAACAAAAGCACAATAAAGATTTCCCAACATTTATGGAGTCCAAAAGGAAATACAAATGGTGATTATGAAGAAAGCCCACTGTAATGAAATCAGAAACTGAATTTAAACTCAGAAAGGACAAGTGAAGATGAAGCATCATTCATGTTTTACCTGGAAAGACACTGGGAGGAGAGGGAGTAGGAACAGCGATGGGAACGCCTACACTCCCACTTCCGCTGTTCTCCCGGCTGCTGCTCCGACTACTGGGGTGGCTTCCTCCACTACTCCCACTGCTGCTAAAGAAACAGGACCCACCAAGACATGAGTATTTATGTGCAGTGAGGGATCTCCAGCACTTCCCAGCATTTTCTGATGAATACAGTAACAATAAAAATAATTCAAGCCTTCTACTTCAAATATGAATTTCTTAATTAGTAGAGGAAAAAGCAGAGTTCAAGAAACTTGTTTTGACCACTGTTTATTAAGCATATATTAAAGAAAAAAAAATTTTATAAACATAAATAATAAATGAAGGGGCTCAAAACATGGCCGACGCTCTGTTTTACTCCAGTTTATTGCCTGTCTGAAGAAACTTCTGAACAGACTATTTGATTAATTTTATTTGTCATAGTATCTTGATATACTATCTCATATTAATGTTTTACTGCATGTAGTTTTTCATCTGTAAAGTTCCACCAAAAAACAACTTGAAATTTCCCATATCTGGTCTATATTATTTAAGGTCAATTATAACTATTAATTTTGCAGAGAAGTTTATACTTTAATATGTCTACCCCCCCACCCTTCCCCCCAACTTCCTGACTGCGCAAAGTTGCATCAGAACATGAGGAGAGAGAGGTGGAATTAGATGAGGTTTGGGAGAGCAGAGTGAGGAAAAGAACTTAGTGCTTGGAAAATGAGAGAGATTTAACTGAAGTGATCTGCACAAATAATGGTACTGTGACCATCACATTCTGCACTGAGGTAGAGAAAATACCTGTAAGTTCGATTTCTTTGATTCACAGAAGCTGTCCTCACAGGGCTCTGCTGCGAGGGAGCCATATTACGGGTTGGGCTAGGTACGTAATCATTGGGTACCACTGGAGGACGCACTGGCTCCAGTGTGCGATAGGGGGAGTGCCGCCTACAAAAAGAAGAGCGGATGTATTGTGTGATCAGCAAGTTTCGGCACAATAAATTCAAAGAGTTGCCAGTAGTGAAATACAATTTGTACTGAGAGATAGAAAAATGTGTTTACATAACCCAGGTACCATTTCAGTCTTTCCTTAAGTAAAATGTCTCCATCATTGTGATGAGTATTGTTATTTTTTAGTCTCCAACCTCATTTCCCTGTGCTAATGCAATTTTGTTCATTCATCCTCAGTGAGCACAAAGGTTCTCCCACCAGATAAGCCAATGTTTCAGACTCTTGTTGGATGAGTTCAAATTATTTTAGTACCATGTCCAAGTCTCCCAACTGCATTGCATGAATGCACCAATTATCTTCCTCACCCCTCTCTCCCTAACCAAAGATACACAAAGACAGGCTCCACAACCCCACATTGAAGATCAGTAGCAACTATAACCCTATATTTCCTTTTCTATACAGTGACTACATAGAAATTACACTATATCCATACACTAAAACAAACAATTTAATCTCATCTCCTTCCATTTTCACCTCACTTCCTCCTCTTTCACCTTGATCTCTCTACCTCTGACCCTCCTGCAGAGTTCAACATTTAAAAGAAAGGGGGGAGGTAGGAAAAGGCCTAAGTCTTTCTACCTTATTTACTCTGAACTATAAAGTACAAAACAAATTGGATTCTATTAACATATTACCCCTTTTTTTCCTTTATTGATTAAGGTATTACAAATGTGTCTTAATTTCCTTTTAAAGGAAGAGAATGAAAAGAGTAAGAAAGGAAATACAGTTTCCAAATTATTTTTTGGTGTGTTAACATTTAGATATATTTTTAATTGTTTATTTTTCAATCACAGTTTACATTCAATATTATTTTGTACTAGAGGCCCGGTGCACAAAAATTTGTGCACTCGGGGGGGAGTGGGGGTTCCTCAGCCCGGCCTGTGCCCTCTCGCAGTCTGGGACCCCTCGGGAGATAACAACCTGCTGGCTGAAGCCCGCTCCCAGGTGGCAGAGGGCAGGCCCAATCCCTAGGTGCAGCCCCTGGTC